CAACAACAACAACAACAGTGGCATAAAATATTAGATGAAGTGTAGGGCTCTAGTACATAGGGTCTCTATAAGTCACAAGCGACTCAATGGCACACAACAACAACAACAACAACAACAGTGACATAAAATATTAGATGAAGTGTGGATTCACAGTCATAGTGACAGCCAGGCCACAGCTGAGATCAGAGTCCAGACAGGACTGAGCACTCTCTACAAACAGAGAATTCCGCCCAGCCTCCCACCAGAGGGGACGCCGTGTCTGAACACTGGTCTTAGTTTAAAGATCAAGTTTACCCATTGTTTTGTTGGCAACACCTAAGTATAAGGAAAATATTCTCTCCAGAGATTGAATTTTTTAGGAGGATTGGCCTAAACTAAATAAAAACCACAGGGAGACTAAGACAGTGGCCTTTCACAGAGCTGACCTGTGAGAGGCCCTCTGCCTGAGCCCTCCCTCTAATTCAGAATTCATTTCCTCATGTCCCTGCTTTCTTCCTCCGTCTGGTTTGCAACAGTGAAGGCATGATAGAGTTTCATAAGACCAACGACCTTTTCACTGGAAACACTTTTTCTTCCCACTGCATGAATGACAGTATACATGTGGAAAACACTAGATGGAATACGGAGGAATTGCGTTTACTACCTCTGTGGAAAGATAGATTGGCCAAGTGTAGAAGAGTCATCAGTTGAGGAGAACAATTTCAAGCTGGATCTCTGCTCTGAGTCAAGACTTGGATAATATAAGTAATGACATCCCTTGTTGTGTATCACTTCTAATTCCAGCCCTCGTTTCTGGCATTTCCCTGGCAGCATATTGCTGCAATGATGTTAAAATCCTAGTCAGCCCCATTTATTATTGCGCACTCACCTTGGCCTTGGAATTGAAGAATGATTTAGGAAACAGTTGAATAGGGAGGTGGGAGGTATAGAAGCGTACACCATCTTTAATATTGCTAACGCTTTTATATCCGTCTTTTGTTTCTAACCATGGTGAGCGTAGGAAGTTGGGAACAGACTGGACCCAGGTGTTGTCTCCCTTGCAGTGTATGAGATTAATAATCTCTATCATCCAATTGGTTCCTGGATAAGGAAAGAAAACATAGAGGATCTTCCTTCAACTTGCCTTAGACATTCAACCAAATCTGAAAGATATTTTGCAATTCAAACCATGCTATCTGTGGCTCAACCCATATGGAGTCAAGGATTCTGAAGCTTCATCTTGGACATATTGCAAGGAGGGACCATTTCTTAGAGAAGGACGTCATGCTGGGGAGGGTGGAGGGACAGCACAGGAGGAGAAGACCCTCTATGAGGCGGACTGATTCAGTGACTAGAGTAATGGCGGTAGGTTTGTCAGAGACAGTGAGATTGGCACAGGATAGGGCAGAGTTTAGGGCTGTTGGACATAGGGTTGCTATGAGTTGCAGGCTACTCGACAGCACATAACAACAAAAACATCTGTGGCTACAAATTCCACTTGCTTTCAGTCTTATTTGACCCCATTCCATCAGAGTGTACAAGTAATTTTTATTCTTGAAACATCCCATTCTTTTGGTTCCTGTTAGTAGGAAATTCTAACGGATTTCTCCAACTCTGGTTTCACCTTCCCAATTTCCTTGCTCCCTCGTCATTCAGTATTCAACATTTGATCCCTTAACTGTTGGCTCAACTCCATAAGCTGTCTTGGATTCCAGCTGTCAGTGTGGAAGCAAAAATAATCAAAGAAATTCCCACAGAAGCTAAAAATGTCATCAGTCATGTGAGTGTCCTCTCCTACTTCATTATCTTCCCATCCATTGGAGTCATACCCGTAGATAGAGAGGGAAAGAGGACTTACAAACATTCCCTTTGGGGTGTCTTTAGCCACAAATCTTTCTGTTGCACAAGCTCATTTCAATTACCTTAGGGAAGTTATTATCTGGTATATTTTGCAGTTTGCTATGGCGGGATGGTCTTTGTAATTACTTGCTATGCATCAGTGAACTGACAGTGACTAAGGATGATAGAAGGAGAACTGACGCCTTTGAGCTGTGATGCTGGAGAAGAGTGTTGAATATACCGTGGACTGCTAAGAGAACAGAAAGGTGCATCCTGGAGAGGGTGAGACCAGGCTGCTCCTTGGAGGCAAGGATTCTGAAGCTCCATCTGACATACTGTGGACATGTTGCAAGGAGGGTCCAGTCCTTGGAGAGGGACGTCATGCTTGGGAGGGTGGAGGGACAGCGTAAGAGAGGAAGACCCTGGATGAGATGAACTGACTCAGCGACTGGGGTAATGGGGGTAGGTGAGTCAGAGACACTGAGGTTGGCACAGGGTAGAGCAGCGTTCAGAGCTGTTGTACACAGGGTCGCTACAGGTCTCAATTGATTAGATGGTACCTAACAACAACATGGCAGGGAATGTCTGTTAATTCCAACAAACAGTAACAAAACTGAAAAAGGAAATAGACAACATCAGTATAGTAGTTGGAGACTTCAATACACCACTCTCAAGAAAAGATAGAACAACCAGAAAGAAACTCAACAAAGATGCTGAAGAATTAAAACACACAATAAACCAACTTGATCACATAGATATTTATAGGCTAATGCACCCCCCCCC